AAAAAAAAAAAAAAAAAGAATTATTCTCTAACTGCTAATTTCCCTTTCCCATGAAAAGACAGCCATGTGATAGAAAGCTCTTTATCAGTCAAGGTAGCATATTTATGAAGCTAAATGTCCTTCACTGGGTAACTTGCCATTGCTAAACGTGGATATTCCAAAATTTTTGAGCCAGCGCATTCTCCATAGGAAGTTTATACATGGTGATTGATTTCCAGGTTATCCCAGAGAACCCAATTACACTTTAGCCTTAACTGTTGAAATACTATCTCTTAGGGCTAAAGTCTATTATATGTAAGATATCCCTTATCCAAAATGCTTGAAACAAAAGTGTTTCAGATTTGGGGTTTTTTGAGTTTGGGAATATTTGTGTACACACACACACACACACACACACACACACACACAGCAGTTGAGCATCCCTAATCCAAATATCTGAAATTTGAAATCATCCAACAAACATTTTCTTTGAGCATCCTATCAGCCCTCAAAAAGTTTTGGATTTTGGAGCATATGAAGTTTTTGGATTAGGGATGTTTAGCCTAATAGGCTGCAGGTCATTTGGCTCACTAGGCCACTGCTTGGTGATCCTTGACCCATAGTAAGTGTTTAGGGCCGGGCTCGGTGGCTAGGCCTGTAATCCCAGCACTTTGGGAGGCTGAGGCGAGTGGATTACCTGAGCCCGCGGGTTCGAGACCAGCCTGGGCAACTTGGCGAGACCTCGTCTCTACAATACAATAAAAAATAGCTGGGCGTGGTAGCGCATGTCTATAGTTCCCGCTACTTGGAAGGCTGAGGCGCAAGGATCGCTGGAGCCCAGGAGGTCGACGCTGGGGTGACCGTGAGCATGCATGCCACTGCACCCCAGCCTGGTGAAGGAGTGAAACTCCAACTCAAAAAAAAAAAAAAAAGAAGAAAAGTTCACATTCCTATATGTGAAATCTTTGGGACTAGACGTATTTTAGAATTCAGCTTTTCAGAGTTTGAAAAGGTTATCAGTATATCCTATATGTAACACCCCTAGTGGCACCTAGCGTAGCACCTTATAATGAAATACTTTAATTTTATGTAGCACAATGTATGAGTCCTCAAAATAAGTAAGATAAATACAGACTTCAAATAGTCTTACACCAGTTCAAGTTAAGTTATACCCCCAAATGAATTTACTGTAAGTCAGAGACAAAATTTTAAAACTCTTTATATCCAGAGATTTGTGTATTTCAGAATTACGGTTAAGGAAGTGTGGATTCAGTTCTTTCTATAGGGAAATATATTCTGGGTTTTAAGTAACTTAAGAATAAACATTTTAGAATACCTGTCATTTATAAGTTAGGGACTTCCCCTATAATTAAAATATGTGTTTTGTTTTATAAATTACTATCATGTATATTCCTTAGTAATGAAGAACTTCACAGTATAATCAGTGACATGTAAGAGAAACTGAATTTTTTAATAATGTACCTTATTGCACAGTGTAATATTTCCCCATTTCTCTGTTTAGTTCTTGGATGAAATTTCATCTACTGAAACTAAAGAGTCCAGTGGTACAAGTGAGCCTGTGCACCTGAAAGAAGGGTAATTTAATGAAATAAGACATGAAAGTCAAATTTCAGTATACACATTAAGTAAGTACAGAGAGCGTGGGTCTGAGAGTGAGGAGACTGGGGTTTGTGTTCTGTGTTAGAACTGTCTAAGTCATCACTCAGGTAAGTCACCACAACTGTCCTATAAACTTCATGTCAGAGAGGCATAATTCCCTGTCCATACAGTCCCAGGCTTGTTTTGCAAGTATATTGAGGTTATGGGTATTAAACTACTTTGAAAAAGTAATAGCACTATTCAATCTTAAAGTAATTTGATTATTATTGGAAGTTGAGGGAGATGTTCCATGAAAGGGCCATATATATAAAGTAGCCCCTCAAAAAATAAAAATAAAGCAAGCCTCCATGGATGTTTGTAGCATGCATCCTGACACGATTTCCATACCCAAGATGCTTTCCAGAATAGGTGAGATAAAAACAGTATGGTGTGCTGGGGGACTTTGCCCATTACCAAGGAGAGGGGTTTGCTTCACTTAGGCTGTGCCCCACCCCCATGACCACTTGTATACCTGCCTACTTACTAAGGTATCTCTCTGGATTTCCATGAATTAGGGTGCATTCTACACCTGTGTCCACTAAAGCTAAGTTTCTCTGCTTATTTTTTGGACTCCAGTAAAGAATGAGATGTGGTCACCCCCTATTCCTCCTATGCGAAGGCAACCTTCACCCCACACCTCATCTCCAGACTGTGAAGAAGTCAATACCTGGAACTCAGAGATGTGGAGTTCCTTCTATTTCTTTTCCCTTTTCTGATGGGATAGTAAGAAGGGATCTAAACTGTTTATTAGGAATCAGGTCTTTCCAAAGGCCCACTGATACTGCATTGGGTTGCCAGTTCGTTTTCTCTTTGTCTACCCTGGCTAAAATCATATCCTGCCATACTTGTTTTCCAGTAATACTGACTTGGCTTCTTGGACCTCCCTTTTTCAGTCCAGCAGACTTAGCTTCTTCCTTTTTCTCTTTTCCTTTAGTAACCAGTGAGACATTCTCTCTTTCCTTTTCAGTTTCTCTAAGATCAGCTTTCCCCATGTGATAATACATCTTGTCCCATGAGGGAGCAAAAGAGGATTGTGAGAGGGCAATGTGTACTTTGTTCCCATGGCCACACCATTCGTGTGGCTAAGTTTGCTCTCAACAGTTGTGCAGAAGTGTTTGCTGAGTTCAGTAATTCAGCCAGGGGCTGCATGTGTTGGGCTTTTGCTTTCCACTGCATGAGCAGTTTTGTTCTCAAAAGGGAAGGATAGTTGTCCTCCACTGAGATTACCTCCATGTTGACATCTGACTCACTGGTTGGTTCCCAAGAATTCTAGGTATTTGCATTCCGGCCTGGCCTGGCAAAGACAGCCGGTGCAGTTTCCTCCTTCCGAGCCACACAAAGTGGCAAGGCTTCCTTCCAGCTGCGCCTCCTGAGTTTCAAGCTTACCTGCCAGTCCTGAGGTCCCTAACACAGACGTGGAAGTCTCGGATCCCTTTCTAACTAGAATTCTTCATCTGACTTTCCTGCACTCAGCTCAGCACTGTGTGTGTCACAGCAGTGGGCAATTCACTGCTGTTGCTGCTTCATGACCTTTCCTACCACATTGAGCTTGTTAACTAACAAGCATTTTAGACCCTCTGGCATGTTGGGGGTGTTCCCATACTCATGCATCCAGCAGATAGGCAACACTACCCCACCGAGGTGAGGAGAGCCAGCCTGGGATTTCCTCTGCGAATGCTTCCTTCCCCTCACCCTTACCTTCATTTCCTGACTCCTCCTGGCTAACTCGCCAGTTGTTCAGTAAAAAGGCAGTATATGTAAAGAAACCCCCAAATGCAGAAGGAGCCAAGAAAGAACAAAACAGACAACATGTTTTTGTTTTTGTTTTTCGGTATAGGGTGATTTATTAGGGGAACTTATAGACAGAAGCGTGGTCTTGGGCAGCTGGTCTTGGGAAGACAGGTAGATCTTCACATCACAACCTCCCAGACCCAGGGCTTATATCTCAGAGAACAAGTATACATGCTCTGGAAGGAACGTGTAGGTGGCTATGGGCATCACAGCCTATGATGTATACAACGACATTAAAGGCTGTTATGAAGAAAAGGCAAAGTGTACAGTGAATAGGTGTTTCTATATCACACCTAGAAATACATCAACTAGACATCTTGGAGACATTCCTGGACTCAGTGATTAGTCAGCAGTCACATTGCAGATTAGCGTTTAAAATAAAGGCCGGGCACAGTGACTCAAGCCTGTAATCCCAGCACTTTGGGAGGACAAGGCAAGAAGACTGCCTGAGCTCAGGGTTTTGAGACCAGCCTGGACAAATTGGCAAGACTTCATCTCTACAATAAATTAAAAAATAAGCCTGGTGTGGTAGTGCATGCCTGTAGTTCCAGCTACTTGGAAGGCTGAGGCAGAAGGATCACCTGAGCCCAGCAGGTCGAGGCTGTGGTGACCATGAGCGTGCCACTGCACTCCAGCTTGGGCAATGGAGTGAGACTCCAATTCAAAAAAATAATAAAGTCATTCTCATCCCCACAGTGGGAATCACTCATATGGCCCTTTTTTGTTCTGCATAACACAATTTAAAATATTAAATTAATTAAAGACATAAAGACATTTTCATGTATTTAACATAATCTTATACAACTATTCATATTTAAAATTAACAGGCAATTGTTTGTTTTGAAATAACTTTTAAACTTTGTAGCTAACTGTTTACATCTGTTATTTTGGCAGCGAGATGTATAAAAGAGCTCAGGGAAGAACTCGGATTGGAAAAAAGAATTTCAAGAAACGATGGTTCTGCTTAACAAGCAGAGAGCTCACCTATCACAAGCAGCCAGGTAGTTGTGTTTATGCTTTATTTTGAGATTTTTCCTGGTTTGAGGCGAAGATCTCTTTTTTGCTGCTTAATACGACTCTAGTGAATCCTTTTACTTAGTATTGCTATAGTTTCTCACAGTGAAACATATACATTAAGAATAAAATGAATAACTGACAAGTAACACCATGTAAGGTAAAGTACATTTTTCTCACATTAAATTTCTTGTGTTAAACAAAATTTATTATATTGCGAAAAATGGTGTTCCTTTACTGTGCTCTGTTTTCTAAAAATGCCTGCTGTTATAATTGATATATAAGGAACAACAGTTAAACCTCTTAGAACTTGGAAGTTTCTTTAACTCTCATAGCCAAATTAGTAAGATTCAGTACCTGATAGATGAGAATGTTCCATAGTTTGCAGCCAAAAATTTTCATAGTATAACATAGATTGTGGCTCCTGTTATACAGTTGTCAGATTCATTCTAGGCTGTTGGCCATGCTAACCCCGAGATGGAAGATTTAATAATTTGCTGTCTGAGAAGACTCTGTTGCTTTCACAAATGGTCTGTTTGTGTAAAGACAGTCATCTTCCTACAGTATGATTTGAGAATTCCAAAGAGGCTTGTCCTTCAGTAGACTGACACTATGTTTAAAATGCTTTCCTTTAATGTTTATTCCTTTGGGGTAAAATATTATCCACAGAAGGCCATTAACTTTTGATATTTTAGCAAGAAGAATTTAGTATCTAGATCACAGATCGCATGTAATAGAATCATAGATCACATATAGTAGAGTCCCTTTCATCCAAAGTGATCAAGATCCAGAGATTCACTTAACCAAAAAGATCAGTTAAAGCACAAATTATTTAAAAATAAGGAAAAAGTACATACGGATCTTAAATATGTGCATTTGTTTACCAATCTTTGGCTAGAGAACCAAGCAAAATCTTTTTTAATATGGAGCTATAGATCAGATTTTCTCTTTAACTTTCTTGTGAAATATACCCATAATCCATCAGTTTTCAGGTTGATTTCTCCAAAGTGAATCTAAAACTTAGATACTTGTAAAGTAAACCAAGTACAAAATCCACTTAAATTTTCAAGATAAGTCACCTTAGTCTTTTATAGATGTCTTACCCCCACATAAATCAACTTTATGTGTATGGGTATGGGTTTCCTTTTTAGATGCTTTTCAAAAGTGTTTGCCTGATTTTCAAATAATAAATCTTTTGATTGAGGGCACTTATTTTGTCACCTTATATAATATTTAAATAAATTATAATTGCAACATGGAAAACATAAATAGATTTGGAAACAAATCCAGTGGACTTGGTTAGCAAATGGCCTAACCAATGGAAGCCAAAGGGTGCAGGCTGATAGAGAGTAACCTAGCAATCACAAGCATTCAGCATCCCATGAGCATCATTCAGTATGTTTTACAGAGGAAATGGAGTCTCGGTTAATCCATCAGATCTGTTGAGAGAGCTTCTGCAGTAAATTCTGGAGTGACAACACAAACATCAGACATAGGATGCTTTTAAGAGAATGTAGGAATGTAGACACAGTTAAGTTAGGGTACCTCAGTGGAGATTCTTGAATAGTAGAATAATAAGAAAAATTTTTTTGTTTCATAGTTCTTCCTCAGGAATGTCTTACCCAAAGTGACGACGTGGGTCCCAATATATTAATAAGATATAAGAAATCAAATGCAGCCAGGCTTGGTGGCTCAGCCTGAAATCCCAGCACTTTGGGAGGCCGAGGCGAGTGGACTGCCTGAGCCCATAGGTTTGAGACCAGTCTGGGCAACTTGGTGAGACCTAGTCTCGACAATAAATCAAAAATTAGCTGGGCGTGGTAATGCGCATCTGTAGTTCTGGCTGCTCAGAAGGCAGAGGCAGAAGATCGACACTGGGGTGGCCATGACTGTGCATGCCACTGCACTCCTGCCTGGGTGAAGGAGTGAGACTCCAACTCAAAAAAAAAAAGAAATCAAATGCATGTATTTTTAGGCACCCAGATAATTTATTATAGCATATACAGATTCAAATAACTAAAGGTCAATAGGCTACATACCCACCTTTCCAGGCAGCATTTAAAAAAATTTTTATTTGTGTGTTTGTTTGAGTCAGAATCTTACTCTGTTGCTCAGACTGGAGTACAGTGGTATGAGAACAGCTCTCCGTAGCCTCAACCTTCTGGGCTCAGGCGATCCTTCTGACTCAGCCTTCTGAGTAACTGGGACTACAGGCGCGCCTGGCTAATTGTTTTGATTTTTTTTGTTGTTTGTAGAGAGGAGGTCTCACTATGTTGCCTAGGTCTCAAACTCCTGGTCTTAAGCAGTCCTCCCACCTTGACCTCCCAAAGTGCTAGGATTACAGGTGTGAGCTACCACGCCTGGCCCCAGGCAGCAATCTGTAAACTGAGCATATTTTGAATGTTTTAGGAATTATAGCTTATATTGAATAAATGTTCTCACCTATGCATAGCATGGATGCTAAATGTTGTTTACACTAATAGTATGTTTAAATAAAATTTAAGGTAAGTTAGTTATTCTCCATAAATAAATGAGTTATTTGTTTTCTCACTTAAAGCATTTTCTAATCGAAACCAATAGTCTAAAGTCTTCTTTGGTTTATAATCTCCTTTAAGAATTGTTTAGCTATGAACACCTTCCTCTAGGAAACTACACATACAAACATAAGCACAACATTTTGCATATAATTTCAGGGAGCTCATAGACCCAAAGTCCATCTATGGTTCTCAGCTTAGAACCTCTGTTCTAACCAGTGATCTTAAGAGGACAAAATTCTACAGAATGATTAAGGCTACTGTAGGTATAAAATAGACATATTAGAAGCTACACTGTTTTGTGGCCTTAATAAATTTAAAATGTTGGAATGACATTGGAGGAATGAGGCATAAGATTTCAAGATTATTTACCAAAGCCTGCAATTTTAAGCATCCATGCTTTTTTGTTTAACTATTTTGATGGATTTTTCCAAAATGTATTACATGCTTCCCTGCCTTCTAAAAAAGAGTTCATTGACCGTAAGTTAAAAATTTCTCGATGACTTGGAGCTATCATTGATAATATTAATTATTATATGGTACTCTTATTTAGTGATGTTTTCAGGGCTGCTTAAGGATGTGTGCAGCTGTTTCCTCCAGCCTTTAGTCCCCAGCTAAATGCCCTGGACTGCCATGCTTTTTGTGTTCTTGGGTTTGCTTTATACAGTTTTTCTCTTTCCTTTATGGTAAGCCTGTTGCCTTAATTTTTGTGATGTCAGTGAACCATAATATAACATCTTACTCCCATCTCTATCACCCACCTTCATTGTTTTTGTTGCTATACTGTGAGTGAGGATGCAGGTACTATGTTTGTTTAAATTATGCATAATGATTCTACTAAGAGGAGAGTATTAAAAAAAGAAAAACTATGCATGCATAAGAGTAAAAGGCTTTGAATGAAGAGATGAGGACTTTCTCCTATGAATAAAATACCTGGGCTTTGCATTCTGTGCTTAGGTGTTTAGCAAATGTTTTGCGTACCTCCTGTTTCCTTGCTGTTCTCTAGATAACAAAGGCTGCTAATTAAGTAGTCTCTTGCTGCACTTACTATGTGACTTTGGTGTCTGAAAGGATACCTCCTAACTGTTCTATAACATAGTTCTAAATCATTGAGTCTTTCATCTTCTGGCTAGACAGTAGTTTTCTGAATCAAGTATTTCTGCCACTTAGTGTCAAATAATGTGACCCTTTTTGCAGTTTCCTGGAAAAGGAATTAATAGAATTTTCTCACTTTCAAGGACTTTTCTTCAATAAGTTGTTGAATTTTTGATGCACACTTAGCATTGAATGCACTAATTGCTAACAATCAGTGTAACTAAAGCAACTGATCAATGCATTTAAATTAACATGTAGCAAGTGAATATTATCATTCATGAGAACCTTGATTACTTCAACAGTTTTTTGTGGACCTATGTGCTTATGATTATGATCTTATATTGCTGTACTGTAACATAGCCTTCTTCAGGTAAAAGTTCTCTTAGTTCTATGCTGGTATCAAATGAGTTATTGATATTTCAGCCTCTTCTTGTATCATGCAGCTTCATCTTCTGCATTCTCCATATATGACTTGACCAAACTATTCTTGCAGTTCATTTAACTTGTGCTCTTTTACTTTGGCTTTTGCATATGCTTTACCTAGAAGTTCCTTTCTTTTCTTCTTTACCTTTGTAGTATTTGGTCCTTTAAGCCTCAGATCAATGTCAGCTCTTTATAGAAGTCATTTTAAGCCTCTGGCTGCTTCAGTTTAGCTGTTCTCTTACTGTGTTTCTTTAACCACCTTAGCAATAACGTCTGGCACGCTGTGTGCTCTACTTTTGTTCCTCTCTTCCACTAGTCTTGAAGATCCTTAGTGGTAAGGGCCATAGTATTGCTAAGAGCTTAAAGGCATTTAGTAAATATTCTTCACCATGTCTTTCATATATGCTATCATCTGAATTACCTTAAGAACCATTGCTCTAAATTTCTACCAAGCATTCTAGTAATAGATTCTTCACGAATTCATCCTTAAAATTCTATTCTGTAAAATTTGATTAGTTATGGTCTACTTTGGGGAGACCTGTTATATACAGATACAACTTTCATGCTATTTCAAATGTCCTATCTCATGTAGCTTATGGGCAATATAAAAGAAATCCCCTTTATCTTTAACATAAATGCTCAGTGCATATATTTTCACACGCAGGGCTCTGCAGCGTTTTTTTCTTTGACAACTAAAGATCAAAATTCATCATAGATTAAGTCATGCATTCATTCACCAGACATTTTATTGAGTTTCTACTATGTGCTAGACACTGTCCTAAGCTCTGGAGATAACAGTAGTAAACAAACATACCAAAATCCCTACCCTTGTGGCTCTTATAGTTTAGTACTGATAGATCATAAACAACAACAGAAAAAGACTATGTATGTTGAGTGATTATAAATGAGATGTACAAAAAAGAAGCAGAGAAGGGAAATAGAAAACGATGAGTTCAGTAAGGGGAGTTCAAATATTATAAGATCTAGGCAGAGAAGGGTTCACTAAAAAAGTGACATTTGAGCAAAGGCCTAAAGATGGTGAGGGAGCAAGACTTGTGGATATTTGGGATAAGACTGTCACGGAAGTAGCTAACAGCATTCAGAGCAAAGGCCCTTCATGAAGTAAAAGCCTGCCTGGAGTGTTCAAAGGACAAGAGAAAGTTCTTGTTGCGGGAAAAAAATGCGGAAAGAGGTGAATCATAGGGACTAAGGTCAAAACGATCAAAGAGTAGAAGCGAGATACTGTGGACCCTTCTAAGGCTTTTACTTTGAGCAGGAGCTTTTCGAAAAGTAAGGAAGAGGCATGACATTCAACTTATGTTTTAGTGGGATCACTCCTGCCATGTGGAGTGTGTGTGGAGAATAGAATGAAGGGGGCAGGGTCCATTCAAGAGGCTAGTACGATAATCCAGAGGAGAGACAGTAATGTGAATTTAGTTTACCAAGATCTTTAGATAAAGGATTAATATATAAAAATCAACTTTTTATAAACTAGGAGCAAACTGTTAGAAAACAAAATTCAAAAAATTAATATACCCTTTACAATAGCAGACCCCAAAAAACAAGCCCTGAGATACTTAGGAATAAATGTAACAAAAGAAATAAAGCACCTCTACACTGAAACTACAAAACATTGCTGAAATAAAGTAAAGAAGACATAACTAAAAGGAAGTAGACATCATGTTTGTGGATGGAAGAGCCAGTATTTGTATGGATGGAAAAACAAAGGACTTAGCTTAGCCAAATCAATGTTGAAAAGATAGAACAAAGTTGAGGGCCAATTTTAATGTTAAGACTTACTATAAGGCTGCAGTAATCAAGATTGTGGCTTTAGCATAAGAGGTAGACAAGAGTCCAGAAACAGATGTATATAGCCAACTCAGTTTTGACAAAGGTGTCAAGGCAACCATTAGGGTAAGAAGGCTTTTCAACAAGTGGTGCTGGAACAACTGGATAAATATGGAGGGGAAGTTAACTTCACCCACCTCACACCACACACAACTGTAATTCAAGACAATGGGTTCAAGTCCTTCAATAGCCTTTCAAGTCCTCATGTTTTACTGCCCAGTATTTAGGTGTTTGTCGTTTTTCATCTGTCCTGCTCAGTACTTGGTGGATAACTTTTAGTCTGAGGAGTTCTACCTTTATCTTAGGGACATTTTCATCCGTAATCTTCTCCTGAATACTCTTTCTATTCTGTTTCTTGAATTCTTATTAGTCAGATATTAAAACTTATAAATCCATCCATCAAGGCTCTTAATGCTTCTGTTTCTTTGTCCTTTTGTACTGTATTTTTGAAGACTTCTCAGTAAAATCTTTCATTTTACTAACTCTTGTTGCAGTTCATGCCAGTTAATGCTAATGATAACATGACAGTATACGTGCCTGGAAACAGTGTGCTTTCTCTACATTTGCTGTGTTACAGTTTGTCCAGAAATGATTAAATACAGCAATTAGGATATGCTTGTGCTTTGTGTATTTAACAAATCTAAAGATAGACACTCCCTGCAAAATTTAAAAATTCTCTGGTTGGAATCTCTGTGGTTCCCCCTGTTGATTGGCACCCAAAGACATATGTCCCCCCGACCCCCAGTTATTATCCTGCTTTCCTCAGACGTTATCTTCTGGTTTCATGTGTGTCTCCTTCAGAGTGCTCATTTTCCTCAGCTGTTTGGTGATTTGCCCCTCTTTGTTTTTTACAGTTCGTTTGCCTACTTAACTGTTGAGTAGCTTAACTGCCAGCGTTCTGAGGGAGGGACAGGACAAGTTGCCGAGCCATGGGTGCTGGTGCTTGTCTTCTAGGGTGGGTGCTCCCTTCCCTCCTGAGGATCAGCAGCTACCTGTGACATTGCACTGCTCTGCAGCCCAGTGTGCATCCTTGCTGCTTTAGCCTGTGAGCATATGCCTCTGTTAACGCTGCTTAGCACAAACCAGCGGCAGAGAGGGCCTGATTGGCCAAGTGTGCCAGATGCAGCTCACAGTTTGATCACCCTGATGTATGTCCGCGTCTCCCCAGCCTTCGGCTGTATGTGTCCACTGGCTCTAGCTTGACGCTCTCCCCTGACCACTCCTACTTGTGCAGATGTCTTATCCTACATCTGGTTTGGACTGTGGCTTCCTTCAGTTATTCCCTTCCTGCCCCACCCCCATAGATGTGATCTTGTCTGCTTCCAGGAGACAATATTCTTTTCTCATTTTTTCATGCATTTTTAATTTATATTTATCAAATGTAAATGTCACTTCCTCAGAAAGATTTTTTTTCTAATCACCCAATTTAAAGTAACTTTCCAATTACTTCTATCACATCACTTCGGTTTATTTTCATTTTAGCGGTCATCACTATTTAATAGTTATGTCTTTAGTTAGTGTTTCCAGACTTAAATGCATACTCCTTTAGGGGTCTTATATGTTCTGTTTGCTGTTAAAAGTGGTTAGAACAGTGCCTGATATATAGTAGACATTTCATATATGATAGTTGAAATTAGTGACTTTAACTTTTTAAAAAATTATATATCACATCTGCTTGAATTATATAAATTTTAGATTTTATACCAGAAACAAAGCTTAGCAAGTAATTGTACGTTAACATCTCTGTTAAAGACAAAAAAAAACCCACACAAACTTTATTATACCAAATAGTTTTCTTTGCCAAAAAAAGCTATACATTAATCAATTGAATAATATAATATGCGAAGTTCTCAACCTCTGGCCTTTGATTTCATGTGTCATTTAAAGCAAAGCTTAGAAGGAAAATAAAAGCAAAGTTCGATTTTCTAAGAACAACATGACAGAATGACCAGAAGTCAGTTAGTTACATTTGCTTGTGGTTTCCACAACTGTGTATATGAAATATAGTTTGTTCTCAGGTAAATTGTCAACTGAAATGTGTCATATTCTTATGCCATATCACTTTGACACTCCTTTAGCAAACTCAACTTTCCTTAACTAGATTTCCAGACTCTTAGATAAGGATTCACTCTACCAAGTAAGTTTTTTACTTTTGTTCCCTGTATCTCTTAGAGTAAATTCTGCAGCTTTAGTCAGCTGCCCAACCAATATGTGATAGTAATAAATAATTTTTCAGTTCAGAATCATTGTTTTGAGGGTTTTCTTAATTAAATATTAGGTTAGAAAAATAGAAGAGTCTACTTAAGTAGTCATATTCGCTGCGTAAGTAATAATTCCATGAAAGAAAATTGTCTTGGCAAATTTTGAATAGGCCTCTGTTGCTAAGTCTGTGATTTTTTTCAGTCCCCATGTAATTAATGTTAGAGATAGTCTTACCTTCTCTATAGAGATCAAATTTAGTCCTACATTTTTCCTTGAAAATGTTTTAATTTTATATTGCAAAAAAATAAGTCACTTTATAGAAAATAATTCAAGTTCATCTGTTTCATAAAACAAAAAATATTTCTATACATACCATCTGGCAATCTACTATAGGTTACTTACACTCCTAACATCAAGAGGATGAGCTTAAACCTTACAGAATTATTCTCTCATCTTTATAATGGATATTATTTTAATTTTGTTCTTCTTTTATTATTTAGGCAAAGATGCAATTTACACAATTCCAGTAAAAAACATTCTTGCTGTGGAAAAACTGGAAGAAAGCTCTTTCAATAAGAAAAATGTAAGTAATATAAATAAATATTTAAAGCCTTCTAGATTACATGTTGCTTAATTGAAAATTTTCAAGAGGTTGTTTATTTCATTCCACTAATCATTAATAATTTATAAGTTACTAGCTTAAACTCTGTCTTAAAATGGTTCATGATTGTTGATGCCTCATGTAGTCTGCCTAGTTTATTAAGTCCAGACTTGTCTACATGACATTCAAGTATCTAAGTGGTAGCGTCCCAACCTCTCTGTCCAGCTGTGTCTTCTGCCACCGCTCAGTGCCTGCCATACACTCAAGCCAGCCAAAATGACTTCCTTGTTCCTCAGTATGTTCCCACTGCTTTGCCTTTACTCATACTTTTTCTTCTGTCTGAAATTCCCTCCCTTCTTATTATTTATATGATAGACCATTCCTCTGGACATATGCTAAAATTATATTCTGTTGCACTCTTTAGCACCATGTGACTCAGATTGTCTTTGGGATAGTATTATTTGTTATTATTTGATAGTTACTTATTTGCTTGATAAGTAACAATTCATAAGATGCCTCAGCAGCAGTTATTTAGCCAAGTAAACTAGATTTGTGTTACGTACTTTTTTCTGTTTTGCACTATGTTTGGGTTGTTAGACTCTGTCACTAATTTTTTTTTTATTTTCCATGCCTATGAAGATGTTCCAAGTAATACATACGGAAAAACCACTCTATGTCCAGGCAAGTAACTGTGTGGAAGCAAACGAATGGATAGATGTGCTCTGCAGGGTGAGCCGATGCAATCAGAACAGACTCAGCTTCTATCATCCCTCTGCATATCTGAACGGAAACTGGCTCTGCTGCCAGGAGACCAGTGAGAACACTCTTGGCTGCAAGCCCTGTACTGCGTAAGTGACTTTCTGACTTAAACAGCAGTGTTTCAAACTGTGGTACATCCATACGGTGGAATATTATCTGTCTATAAAAAGGAATGAAGTACTGACACATGCTGCAACACAGATGAACCTCAAAAACATTATGCCATTGTACAATTCCATACATGTAAAATGTCCAGAACAGGCAATTCCATAAAGGCAGAAGGTAGATGAGTGGTTGCCAGGAACTGGAGGGAGAGAGGAATAGGGAGTGCTAATGGATACAGAGTTTCTTTTGGGGAGTGATGGAAATGTTCTGAAATTAATAGTGATTGTACACGTTTTTAAAAAAATTTTAAGGGCAATATTTAAATAGAAACATGAGGTTAAGCTAATATAATCAAGGAAGAAGGGCCATTAGAATGAGAACAGCATTCTAATTGTGTGGAACAACCATTGAACCCTATAGACCTAAGTAATAATGTATTGCTTTTGTGATGAAGTATAGGTTATAAAAATGTTTTACCTTAAAATTCCCCTCCTTTTGGTTAGAGTCACATAATAGCTAGACTTCTCTTGGCCCCATTTTATTTAACTGCTAAATGAAACTAAATTTCTGAACTTCCTTCTGCAAAATTCTGTGATTCTATTGTTAACTCTTAAACCATCAAAAGTCTTTGACATGTTAACAAAGTAAAATTTTCCCAATGTCTTTCATTTTATTTTTACCATAGAGGTGTTCCTGCAGACATCCAAATAGATATTGATGAAGACAGAGAAATAGAAAGAATTTATTCTCTTTTTACTCTCAGTTTACTTAAGCTGCAGAAGATGGAAGGTGAATACACAATTAATCTATTTTTATATAACCATAACCTTTTATTATACTCTCAGTTTACTTAAGCTGCAGATGATGGAAGGTGAATACACAATTAATCTATTTTTATATAACCATAACCTTTTATTAACAATTCCTAAATTGTTGCTTTGGCATTATTAAAAAATTGAAAATACTCATAGAGTTACCAAAATGTTACTTATCTGAAAGTTGACTAACCCCCCAGAGTTTTGTTTTTTTCACAGACTTTGCTATTTTTGCATAAATGTGATGATCCTAATAAAATGTATGTTTTAGTTATCTATTCACTGCCAAGGGAAACTGCCCTGACATGAGACACTTGAAAAATTCTTATTTGTTGTACTACACATTGCATTTATGGAATTTAGTTGTCTGATCAGAGACTTTACTGCCCCTTGTAGAGGCTTGTGGAACTATTGCAGTCTATCAAGGACCACAGAAAGAACCTGATGATTATTCTAACTTTATAATTGAGGATTCTGTGACAACCTTTAAGACAATTCAGCAAATAAAAAGCATCATAGAGAAGCTGAATGAACCTCATGAAAAGTACAGGAAGGAAAGATCAAGTAGTGCAAAGTATGGGAGCAAGTAAGTAATGTTTAAGTTGCTTGAAAACGTGTTTCTGAGCAGTGTTTGAGATGACCTCGTCTGCCAGTCCTCACACCTGACTTGCAAACCCAACTCAGAGCCCTTCTCTTGCACAAGCTTGCCTGACCCCACGGAAATGCACAGTGCTCTTTGTCTAGTTCTATTTGGCCATCATCTCATTGTGTTCATGCTGTTCTCTATGGTCATTTTTAACATTATGTTCACTTGTAATTCATTTCTTGAATACTGAGTAGCTTCTGGGGTTTTTTGTTGTTGTTTTTACTGATCTTCCTCCTTTATATCTCCCACAGTGCTTTATACTTAGTACTGAAAAATATCAGTTGTTGAAGTACTTAGAAGTATTTTATAGTTGACTTTTTGGATCCATCTCAGATGTAGATGGATGCTACCGTGGATAACAACAGCAATAGCTGAGGTTTATTAGAAGCTTACCTCACCACCAGCATTGTGCCTAGTACTTTACATTGTATCATTTAGATTGTTTTCTGCAGCAAGTATCGGAAAGTCTTTTAGTCTCCCAAATTAAGTCCTAACTTCTGCAGCTAGTTAATTCAGCTCAGTACTGTCCTCAAAGATCGCCTGCCACTTAGCCATTCTCAACAAGCTGATTTTTATCTGCCTCGGGCTTGGCCACTCAAGGTCATTTCAAGCCAAACCTTTCTATGTGACCGATTATGAGGCAGAGAAGGCTGTTTCCTCCTTACTAGGAGAAAGGAACCATGTCAGTACTTACTCTAGCCTCCCCTGAAACATGGGGCTGCCCACTGTTAGAATAGAGTACAGGGTCCAGTTTGCAAAGAAGTGGAGAGGGAGTGAAGTAGCTGACCACTGGCGAGTGTGAGGGAGAGACGGGACAAGCTACCCAGAGCCACAGATGACAGCATTTACCACAGTGTACACACCTTCATTGGTCCTCACAGCAGCCCACCATGATTGTATCCCTACATCACAGCTGGAGAAACAGGCTCGGGGAAGTTAAATGCCTTGCCCAAGATCACACAGTCGATTAGTGAGGGGTCTCTGAATTCTGGCCCCACTACTTTAACCATCTGGTTTTCTTAGAACCCTGTTCTGGGGGAGGTCCTCAGCAGGGCTCAGCCATCCTCCCTAAATAGCAGCCCCGTCCTATACAGACTGTGCCCCACCCAAGGCTGATTTTTTTTCTCTATTAAAAAATGCAAAAAAAAAAACACAACCTCTCTCATACTAAATATTTTCCTGATTTTACTTTCCTTACCAGAATGCAAGTTAAGTGATGACAAAGCTTTTGTCTATTTTGTTTATTTCTGTATCCTTCTAAAATAGTGCCTGGAATTTAATAAAGTGGACAGTAAATTGTCATTGAATTCATAAAACAGAATTTGGCATGAGAGATTATCAAGAGAAAAGTATAAATACTTAGTGAATTCTACATCTGTCACATTTAGAATGTTTATATTAACTTTTAAAATGATTTTCTTATTTTCTAGGGAAAATCCAATTGTTGGGAAAATATCTTAGAGGTCGTCCAATTGATTAAGAAGAACTGGAAAATACTTTTTTTCTTGGAGTTTTTCAATTCATTTTTTTTGTTCATAATGTTTGAGTATGAATATTGGCTTCAATGTCACCTGCACATTATATTTAATATTTAACAATTGAAATTAATTGTTTGGGAATCTTGATATTGATGTACTACTAGAGAATTTGAAGCCCAGATTCCCTTCATATCTTGTGTGTCCAAATCTATGTTTCTGCACCTTCTTTTTAATAGAAAGGATCTTCCTAAAGAAGCTTTGTAACAAAGGGAGAATTCCACAGCAAGAAACCATCTCTTCTTGTAACATTCTGTTCTGTGGACTTGTTTTCACTACCATTAGTGCCTGCTCTATACTGCCAATGTTGTGTTTTACTAGAAAATTCTGATCCACGACAACTCGCAGCTCTTCATTTTGTTCATCTAGACCCTCCCTCTTTTAGTCCATCAGTCATTACAGATTAGAGACAGTGACAGAAACTTTAGAAAACTGCCAGAACATCCTTGTAAGTTGGTAGAATTTTTGGCCTATTTAAAGATGTAAACAGAACTCAGATAGGAGAAATCAGGGAATATGTGCTATTGTGTGCATCGTGTTTACATTTGGGGTGAGTGTTGGCAGATGAGTTGAGACCACTAAAATGTTTTTCATTGTTTTCAATATCAGGTACTCATTTTCTTAAGAGATCAGATTAGCATGACTTCTAAGGACATCTCTTCCGAAACAGAAGAGAAAGTAAACAGTGAATGAAGGTGGTGGGAAAATCACTCGACTTCACCTGCTGTTTTACGTTGTCACCAGGGTCACCATCAGGATGCCCTCCTAGTGTTAGGTTGCGATCTAACGCGAAAACAGTCACTTGGCGCACTTTACTCATCTGGGTTGCTCCAGATTATAACTTAGATACTCCATGGTATCTAGTCTTTATGATCAGTTGAATGATCAGTGTTTAATAGAAATAATACTTTTCCTGAAAATGTTTATATTTCATTGCTGTTTCCTTAATGCCCACTAGCCAAATGGAATGTGGGCAAGTAACTGTTTGAATACTGTTTTTCCCTAGTAATTTACTTTTGTCCTAAAACCCTAACTGTAAATAAGCCGTCGAAGCAAGTTACCACCTTAAAGTTAAGAGGGATACACTTTGCTTCATCAGTATTAAAAACCATGGTACTCTTGTTTTGTCTTTTTTAATTCAAACCATTTTCTAAAGGTGGTACTTTGAACCTTGGAGTATTTACACATGTTTCTGTTTAAAACTGTGACTTATTGATGTAAGTCTACCGGGTAGTGCTTTTTTTGTTGTTGTTTCCCTGAGCATAAGCTATACTTCAAGATATACTTTGCCAAAATTGTTATTGGTGGGTAATCGTTTTTAAATTATGTAGTCTTTAGGTAATTATTTTTAAAGACCGTTGGCACACAATCAAAGTTGTTCCATGAACGATTATAACTGAGCAATGTATTTTTCTAAATGACTTGTAAAAATCCATAGGTTATATTTAAGAATCAATACTAGCCTGCATTATGGTAGATTATTACTCCTGGCCCATTTTAAAGACAGATTTGAATGAGTTCTTTAAATGTATGAGCTTGTAGAGTCTATAAAGTACACTGATTTATAAACATGAAAGGATTTAGCCATTTAGTAAATTTCTCATTCACAAATTTTATTCAAAGGACATGTGAGCATTGCCACCAGGTACCAATCATTTCTCTTTAGTGGCTTTTTAGTCCTCTGCTTTTTTTTTTTTAGCCTAGAACTGTGTGCCAACTCTACTATTTTATTTTTAAGGCAAAAGAAAGATTCTTCTAACATTTATTTTTTTATTTTTATTTTTTTTGAGTTGGAGTCTCACGCTCGCCCAGACTGGAGTGCAGTGGCTGCTTCCGTCTTCACAGCCTCGACCTGCTGGGCTCCGGCGATCCTTCCGCCTCAGCCTTCCAAGTAGCCAGAATTACAGGCATGCGCTACCAAGCCTGGCTGATTTTTTGATTTATTGTAGAGATGAGGTCTCGTTGCCCAGGCGGGTCTCGAACCCACAGGCTCAGGCAATCCACTCACCTCAGCCTCCCAAAGGCACAGGATTACAGGCTACTTCTAACATTTCTAATATCAAATCCTCAATTATGATTGTTTTTAAAGATCACGGCATGATCAAAGGGACCAAGGCTGTGTGCATACATAATTCTGGATTTGAAGGGGAGAGGTCAGTCATCTAGTTATTTTCTTCACATGACACTTTTAAACATTCAGCTTGATTGGCGTTAACCAGCTTGGCACAGCCTGAAAAGAAGTAGTGTGAAATTAAATTAATTTTCTTTGAAAAGTCTTTTGAAATAAGAGACCATGTCATTAGGACCCTAAAATAACCAAGGAGTTTGTTTCTAGGGACCTTATTCCTCCGCCATTGCTCACAAATTCTTTGATTTTTACTACCTGATTTGCTTTCTCTGCCTTTTCTGCATTGGAAAAACACAAGGCAGCTCACTGAACCTTAAAAATCTGGAAATCCCCGGAAGGAAAGAAAAGAATATGGGGAAACTTGCCATTAATGCCAGTTCTGGTTCTTAATTTAGTCATTTCCATCCGTTGAAATTGTGGTGATCTGTTGCTTGTTTTATTGTTGTTTTGGGTTTGTTTAGCTTTGTTTTTTAATATTCATTTAATAAGATGATGGGCAATAGCAAAGGTTTTTACTCCCAGGAATATCATTTATCAAATTGAACCACTTATTTGCCAAAGAAATATGTTAATATCACGGGTAATGGTTAAGTGTCAAAACTAGGCTTTTTTTTAATACAGAAAAAGATGACGAGTGGTGTGGCTTTTGTTTCTGTTCTGAAGCTTAATTTCATTATCAGAAAGGCTCATTCATGCCAGATCTTTTTTTTTTTTTTTTTAAATGAAAGCACCTTTTAATTTGTTCTAACGGTACATCCTGTAAAGACAGAATTTTGCATAGTCTTTTTGGTGTAGCCTTACAGTATGTGAAAAATGCAAAACTCATTCTAGAGTTAAATTACCAATCTTGATTGATATTCTCTGCTTTCATTTTTATTAACGCAAAAGTTAATATGTTGCTAGTAAATATTGGTTTTTACAGTGTCCAGTTTGAAAATGTAAGTTATCAAAACTTAATGTAGTAAATTTGTGTAACCATGTTGTATTGTTGAAAATGTATTTTTATTTAAATTTTATTTTCTTATCAAGAGTATTATAAAAATTAAAAACTTTTGTAACTGTCGCTTGGAAATAACTCAAATAAATTACAAGAAGCCTGTCTGTTCTTTGTGAGACCATACTCTCTTATTGATGTAGGGATTTCTTCTTGTTGAGAATGATCTTACCCTGCCTGTTAATAGGGGATTCGTGGAAATGAGCAGTCTCCAGTAACAGAGAATACAGAGTGCTCTGGAAAGCCAATTTTTGATGGCAGAGAAAGTGGGACTTGTTTAATTAAAATAAAACTCTATTAAGACTTATTTAGTTTTCTGTTTTATATTCCAAATCATCTTTGTTTCATATGATCAAACGAAACCTTTCTGTTTTTTATTGATCTGCTTTTGGAGATAGAGTGCAGTCCTAAATGCATAAATCTCACTCATCAGGAAAGAATTGCTTTGGCTGGAGTAGACATTATTTTCAGAATTTAACGTATTTCTCAACTTCATCCAGAACTAAGAAGCTCACACCGCAGAGTTAAGGGAGCACCCATTATTTTAGGTGGGTTCTCAGTGCAGAATGGGGTATGTGATCCCTGGAGAGGTGAATCAGAATCTCCTTGAGGAAGGACAGAGGTCAGAAGGAAGACAGTTTGAAAAGCCGTAGTCAATATTACAATTTCACATTTGGAAATGGAAACAGTCACCTATTTTTGTAGACAAACTACCAAAAATAAACAAAATCTTGACTGGTACAGAGTCATGGATGACGCTATGATTCTCACCTCAAGACCTTGGGAGCCCGAGCTTTTTGTGTTAGTGTGGGGCGTTTGTTTTTAAAGTGTGGGAAACACTGAAACAGGCAAAAATAAATTCCAAGTCTTGATCCCAAGTCTCAGTCCTAAACTGCACATCAAATGATGTGTCAGGAGTAAGAATATAGCAAAAGTCACTGCAACCTTAGAGCTTAAATTTTGGGGTAGGACAGGAGACCCCTCCACCGCCATGGTCTCCTACCTACCACTCCCCTCAGTGACGGGACGCACCCACATCTTTTGGATTACTTTGACTGCTGTGTTAAGAAAAGTCCCAACTGCAGGGCAGGGTTCTGGTGCTAGAGACTGAAGTCAAAGTGGACCACAGTTCTGGAAGCCAGGATGCGTTCTGAGGCAGGGGGCATTCATATGCATTTTATGAGCACTCTTAATTGATCCTCACAACAATACTGACACTGAGGGAGGGAGAGTCTGCTACTCAGAGAAGCTAAGTGACCGACTCAAGGAGGAGGGTGTGGCCCCAAGACTGGCCAACTCAGCAGGCCTGCAGGCGGAAGCAGGGCACAAGTCTTCAAAGAACTGGAAGGCAGGCTAGCAAGTGCTTCAGTGCCTGATGGGAGCCTCAGATCACCGAGGAGCAGGGGGCAGAGTCACCAGTGCAGCCGGCCCACCAATCAGCTTCCACATGCCGGTGCCCAGAGGGGGTCTGGAGCATCAGGAATGGGGAAGCCGGATGAGGAAACAGGAAGCATCATGGGAGGGCTGACCTGCAGCCCACATCAAAGACGCCACGTCTAACCCCAGCAACCCAGGAGTGTGTGCCTCGGAGATTCGAATGGGCCCAGCCACGGTAAGACATCATCAAGGACCAGCCAGAGCTCAGGGAAACAGGTGCACCACAGAGCTGCACCAAGCCTGGAGCCCGGGGGTCCACCCACATGTGGCCTGAGGACACATGATGCGTCCAGGTGCGACAGTTAGCCAGACCTGGCCTCAGACGTGGTGCCAGGATGGGGCCGAAGTCACCCCTGTCCTCCCCAGCCTCCTCCACTCTCATTCCCCCACACTTGGCTCGGCTCCCTCTTCAGTATGAGGCGCCACGATATGATATAGGCTTCCACACTTCATTCATTGATGGAGCTTTCTGCTAGCCCTGCGGGTCTGTCCAGCCTGTGAATATCTCTGGCAGCCAGACGGGCAAGGAACCAAGACTCAGGCCTCAGCCTCCCACCTCTCTCTGGCTCAGTCCCAATGACTGCACTCAGACACCCAAAACTTAAAGGACTTTCTCCCAATTGGGCCTTCAAGTACAGACAACCACAGAGAATCCAGGATAAACCCCTCCAAGCAAATTGTCCCAGGGAATGACCACATCTGGGTACCTTCCAGGAAGTTGTCAGGTACCAAGCAGACTCCTTTTTTTTTTTTAAGAGACAGGGCCTCACTCTAGGGCCTGAGCTGGAGTGCAGTGGCACAATCATAGCTCCCTACAGTCTCA